CTGGAGCCCTTGATGGCCCATCTAGAGAGGTGTGGGGAGGACCCGGGAGAGAAACTGAAGGATAAACACAGGAGCTCTCCATGGGCTGCCAGTAAGATGTGAAAACATGGGGCGTCCAGGGTCTTTTTGCCTCTGGACCGCAATCACTGGCCGTGGCGTTTTATGTTTTAATGGTACATGTGTGTTGTTGGAGCCCGTGACTGAGGGGCACAGTTGTCACCTGGGGGGGTGGCGTATTGGGCGCTTGGTGGTGGGTAATTTAATTATTTGGTGGTGGGTAATGATTTGGTGAGTGAATGCGATAGGCACGGACTCTTGTTGAGCTGTCCAGTTAGACACTTCTGTTCACTGACAGTCTACAAATAGTTAAGATCTCCCCTAAAAAACAAAAAGTCAACCCCTCTAAGACTCACTGACGTTGAGTGGATTCCCACTCACTGTCACCCGATGGCAGAATAGAACTGCCTCTGTGGGTTTCTGAGACTAACGGTGTACAGGCACAGCCTCGTCTGCCTCTCTTGGATGGACTGGTGGGTTTGAGCCACCGACCTTGTGTTTAACAGCACTATGTGTAGCCCACTCCTCCACCAGAGCTCCTTACAAAGGGTTGCTAGTCAGGATCTCTGGCATGTGGGTAATGTTGAAAACCAGATGAGGACCAAAAAGATCTATTCATAGATTTCCTGAGGGAGTGGGGGGTCGAGGAGGCTTTTGTGGTAAGCTGCTAGAGTTCTAAATATTTATGCAAGACTGGGTTATTGGGAAAGCTTGGCTTGCTCGAGGACTGTGAAGAGACATGCATTAGACATTTTGAGATCGAAGGAGGTGATAGTGCTTCAAGTCAGCTGTTTACCATTACTCAGAAGTAATCGGAAAAATATCTAGAGCTAGAATATGGAACATAGAACAAGGAGCACTAGACTTGGCCTGTCCTTGAGGGAGGGAGCTAGCACCACTGAGCAGATACCACCAGCACTCGGGTGTGCCAGGCACTTGCTAATCACTTCACTTGTATCATCTGGGGCAAGCTGTGAAATGGGTACTGGTGCTTCCCATTTTACAGATGAGGAAACTGAGGTCCAGAGGTGACAGGCCACTCGCCTGAGACCGCAGCCGATCCGCTTCTTCGCAAGCGCATGCTCGGTCACTCTTTTTCTTATCTCCGCTCTAGTTCCCCATTGCCAGCCCAGCTCACTAAGGAGGTATCTACCGTTTGTGGAACCCATTAGCTTGGTCAAGTGCTTCCCTGTGGTTTAGAAACGATTTGGGGAAGACGGCTCTGCCAGTTTAATGTGAACGGAGTCAGGGTTAGACCCTGAGCCTCTAGGTCTTCACGAGGCTTTGTGGCCAGGGAGGAGAGAGTAGGCACAAAGTGAGTCTGAGGCCCAGGGCACCCAGGGCAGTGGGGAGGTGTTCCTTGGGTCTGAGGCTGTTGTGGATTTGGGGTGCCAGGTTTGAAGGCAAGATGAGAAGCCTGGGAAGGAGCCCACTTGAGAGGAAAGGTGTGGGGTGGGAGAAGGCAGCAGAGCAGCTGCAGGGGAAGGGAGCCTTTTTCTAAGGAAACCTCCCCTCCCCCCTCCCACCTTCTGACAGGAGCCACCTGGCCTGCCTCTTCCCAGTTGTCAGGAATTTATATGGTAATGATGTGGTCATACCACGCAGCTACCCAGGAATTTGCCTGACGTCAGTGTTGAGTAATTCCCATGTATGGTAAAGTGTGTAAATACGGAGGCAGCTAGCATTTCCAGACATCTCCAGGGCTTCCCAAGGGTCAGAAGGCAGCAGCGTCTGGCTCCTTGGCGGCAGCGGTGAGGTGGGAGGAAGAGCGGAAGGGTAACATCTGGAGTGAAGACTCACCCCAGACAAGCGACTGGGCCCCCCACTTTTGAGTACCCCACATCTACTGTACAAGGGTGGCAAGGGCCGGGCTTACCCCAATGCCAGCTGCAAACAACTCTTGTCTGTAAGAGCTAAGTACAGGCTTGTTTCACTGTTTAAGTAATCACCAGGAAGTCACATGCTGACCTTTTTGGTTCAGCCAGGCATAGCCAGCCTACCATTGTTAAGCTGATCTCATCCCAGATGGAAGCGCAGCAAGTCGATTGAATTAGCCTTTTGGTGGAACGTAGGAGTTCTGTGGTTGTTGAGAAATACTTGCAAGGACTCATAGACCTCCTTTTTCTGTTTGCTGAACTTCAGATTGCTGAGCCCCAAGGGTGGGGAGCTCTTGAAGATATTGGGGATAAACTGATAAACAAGGTACAGCACTGTCCTTGTGAGCCCAGGCCTCCAGGGGCTATGGGACATGGGCATGGAAAGAGAGATTCCATGAGCAAGAGAGAGCAAGTGAGTGAGAGAGGGGGCAGGAGTCAGGGTGAGGAGACTTTGTGCTGGGCTATTATGGGGCATAGAAAGCTCAGTTGGTGCTGGGCTCCTAACTGAAAGGTTGTTGGTTCTAACCCGTGAGCCACTCCACAGATGAGAGATGAGGCTGTAAAGATTACAGCCTTGGACATTCTATGGGGTCAGTTCTGCTCTGTTCTGTGAGGTCATTGTGGGTCAGAACTGATGGGACAGGAGTGTTTTGTTTTTTATTTTTTAATGGGACACGGAGCGCTCAGAGCTGGGCGATGCTGGTTAACTTCTCAGAGAGGCCAGTGGGGCGTGTGAGCCTGAGGTTGTGCCCGCACCACCTCCAGTCTGCTCCCAGGCCAGCTGTGTCTCCAGTGCCGCCATGCCACCTCCTACCGGCGGCCCGTCTCTCCCACGGTGTGTTTCCTGGGCTCTCAGGTATCACCCGGGGGACATGGGCTCCAGCCCCGACAGGCAGGGCCTCCCTCCTCTCTGGTCTGCCCTGGTGCCCTCCTGGTGTGGGGCGTGGAGGAAGAGGCTGAGCTACAAGGCCTGCTACCAAGCTGCTCAGATAATTAATGCTGCTAGACAAACACCTGACAGGTCTCTACCAGACCCAGTGGGTGGGTACCTGAACCCTGTGCCCACAGGTCGCATGTTGGCCCTAGGGGGCAGGAGGCTTCGGAAGAGGAGAAAAGGGCATGGTGTGGCTGTCACTGGTTTGATGCGATGTCCTGCAGGCACTGCTGGAGATGATGCCCCTCCTTAAACCTGAAACACGATCACACAGAGCCTGTCCCCGCCATCGGCCTTTCTCTGGGTTTGGGTCAGCCCGAGCGCCTGTGCCTGGGCAGGCTTCACTCTGCTGCTGCGGAAGTCACCGTCTTGGACCTCTCCTCTCGAGATTGAAGATCTGGAGACAGCTATTCCTGGGGCCTCTGGATCGGAAGGGCTAGGTGGGTGGCTGACGAGAGCTGGTTGCTTCTCAGAACATTCCAGTCCTTGCCCACTGCAAGCCTCAGAAGCCAAACCAAATTCACTGCCGTCGAGTCGATTCTGACTCACAGCGACCCTCTAGGACAGGGGAGAACTGTCCCTGTGGGTTTCTGAGGTGGCAGTCTTGATGGGAGTAAAGGGTTCTTCCTCCCCCAGGGAAGCTGGTGGGTTGGAACTGCTGGCCTTGTGGTTAGCAGCCCCATATGTCACTGCTACGCCACCAGGCTCCTGACTGTGATCACAAAGGGAGTGATGACCCACCAGAATACTCATGACCGGAGCAGCATAGAAGGGGGCCACGAGTGGTCTCAGGTGGGCAGAGGGACCTGCACCCCAAAGGAGGGGCTGGTAAC